AAAGTATGCCTTGTGAGGTACTTGAAAATTTATAGTTTACTGGTCAATGTTGTCCTGATAAAATACAGGGAAATATTATAACGTCACATGCACTGTTGCCATGCATGCAAACCACAGCACAAGTTGGCAAATTGGTCTGTCTCAAATGAATGCGTGCTCTTCTTAATTTGCATTTAAGTAGTAAGCGGGAAGAAAAAAAAAAAAAAAAAAACTCAAAAAAAAAAAAAAAATGAGGAAAAGCAGCAGGGAAGATATTTCCCTATAGACTTTTTGTCAGCTGGGAATGTTTTCCAAGGGGCAGGATTGACACTATAAAAAAGAAGGGAGGAACACTCCAAGGCACCCTTCCTCCCTCTCACTCTGGGTACCTGGCATTGGCCACTGTTGGTAGACAGGATACTGGGCTGGATGGATCTTTGGTCTGACCCAGTATGGCCATTCTTACGTTCTTATTATACTGTATCCATGCAAAGTGCTAACTTTATGACTGCACTGGGGAAAGAAAATTCTCAATGCAGACAAGGTATGTATAAATTGTGACCTATTTATTAAGGCCTGATCAATTCAGCAAAACAAGTCCCGCTGAAGTCACTGGGATTGAAGAATGCTTTGCTGAATCAGCCCCCGCCCTTGATAAATATAAATAAAGTATTTCCTCAAACCAGCAGGCTGGAGTAGGTGACCCTAAGGCTATTCAAGAAAGTTCCATTAGTATTAAATCATAATTTAAAACATATGCAGAAGAAGGCAGAGTTAAGGTTCATCAGCATCGAACTGTATATATCCTAACTAGTTTCTGTAGTACTGCATTTACTAGGGACTTCTGCATAGCATATATAGTCTTGAGATGAGGAAACTTGCAAAAAATCTTTTTGTACACTTAGCAATGAAGCCAAGAGAAGTATTCTCTAAGTTTAGTTATGAATTAGTATTTTGACCAAGTTTGTAACACACATTATTCAATACTGGGTTTACTTTTAGTACAGTGAATTCAGTAGGGCTAAATTCTATATTTCGTTATCAGGATAGAGCAACAATTTTTCAAACAAACAAACAAACCAAACAAAAACACAAGACAGACACTTACCACACCAAAGTGTTTTACTTTATTGCAGTATTTGTGATGCTCCCTATACTAATCAACAGGAAATACTATGAACACGATGAATTTAACCGCACCAAGCTGTAGTTGTCCAGTGTTCTGTGGCACCCATTTTAATGAAGTTAAAAGATGTGACATGGTAAGAACCAAGGTCATTAGGGAAACTAAAGAGGGTTAAAGCTTAGATGTCCTTTATTTTAGGCCTCCATTTAAAGCTGACC